CGAACTCTTGCATTACGACGACGTTTCCTGGTACGTCGACGCCGCCGCCATATTGACCACCGTCCAAGGCCACGATTCTGTGATGGAGAGGTTGTACCTCAGCGCGGAACAGAGACTGAAGAGCTGCTAAGACCCGGACGAGGTTTGCTCTTTCGGGCAAAGACTCTCCTCCTTCATGGAATCGGATAAGATAATCGACGAGCGGTGGGAGACACTCTTCGCCTACTGCGAACGGTTCCTAATGGAAAGTTGGCAGACGAGGCTTGGCAAAAGCGAACGAATCGCATGGAGAGGCGCCTTCATTCCAGTTCGAAAGAAGTAATTAACAAAAAAAAATATGTTATGTTATTTTGTTGGAAAAGTTTACAATATTAAAAATTTGAAAAAAAAAAGTTTAAATTGTTTTCTTTCTCATTTTGTTACGAAGTCTGAATCTGTGTGCCAGTGTGAGTGTGTGGTTGTGAAACGTCATTATTTTGTCATTAATTCGCTAGAGTCACGTTCGTCGTGAAAGTCAACAAATATATAGAAATATTGGCAATATACTTTTCGTGGGTAACGAAGTCACTAAGATCAAACATCATCACTTCTCTGGACGTATACACACACTCACATACACGCGGGTAAGAAAAGATAGAAACGAACGACGCAATTTATTCTTTTTGTCAACAACATTTATTTTTTCTACATTCTATCTACATTTTTTTATCTTTTGGATTTTAAACAACTTTTTCAACTGTGGAAGATGAAGTTGGCTCTTTTTCTCGATACCTTCGAAGAGCAGGAAGAGGACGGTTCGCCGTTCTTTCTTATGGACAGGTAACGTCCGGTGGCCATATTCTTGAACGCGCTACCTTTCCACGTCTGTGTCTCCTGCCAGTGACAGAGATCCCCTTCGCACTCGTCAACGGCCGTTATCGTTCCGTTTACTTCCAAGGACAGGTATCTACCGGAGCGGCAGGACCGCATAGTTAAGCTGTTGAGCGTAGCCGACGATCTCTGCATGTATTCGGCGTCACTTTGCGTCGTGGTATTCACTCCGGCGCCGACGGACAGAGAGTAACCGGACCGACTCGTCAACATGCATGCGAATCTCCCGACCTCGCAGTGCACGGCGGTTTCATACGCACTATATTGGGACAATAAGTGTTTTCAATGCGCCTTTCATATATTTACGCACCGCAAGCCTCGAACGAACACACTCATGTCGCGATTGGGATCGTGCGANNNGCGATTGGGATCGTGCGAGCCTAGCGGAACTGCATTTTTTGGTACATAGTAGAATTGTGCTAAAAATAATATATGAGTATAATATCCCCCCATCCATGTTCTGTTTGTCTAATTATTATATCAGCTACTAAACAAATTTTTTGCAAAGCATGAATTTATATAAAAATCATGAATGTTAACGAGAAAAGTAAGGCCGGTCTACAGTAAAAGTGTAAACAAACAACGCCTTAACTCCGTAAATGCTAATATCGCTAAACATGGTCGTAATTATCGTCGTTGTACAAAATTGTGCAATTTTTCTGAATGTTATCGTTGGTTGCCAATGAACAATCAGTGTCTGTTCTTGTATTCTGTGAAATATTGGCCTGACAACTTTTTCCGATTAAAAAAAAAAATCGATTGAAAACAGCAAATATTTTGGCTTTACTAGGCGTTCTTGACAACTCCACGGGCTCATACGCGCAATTTTACGCGTTGGTTATACATGCGCTAGGCCTAGATTGGGGCCTAGATTTTATTGGGGTTTTGGACATGCTTTGCTGCATTAATGTTGTTAAATGTTAAAATTATAATTGTATAATATATATATTATTTTTCTTCAGCTAATATTTAATAAATACAGGCTTGCATTGAATAACATTTTATATTTTGATGGCAATAATTAGGATGGCTCTAAAATAAAGAAAATTTAATATATATCTGTGAAAATAGCCAGTATCATTTACAATCATCATTCTTCTTACACTTCAGTTTACAAATAGACACAAACATTATGTTCTACATGTTATATTTTTAATGAACAAAATAAACCTTTAAAAATACAAGAATCCAAATTAAACCGAAGGTCCACTGATTAATCCCGGATACAGATAGAATAATACTTACTCAACGTTTAGGGATTCAATACTTTGATATTTATTATGACATCATCAGGAATCCAAATTAAAGGTATGCAATCAGCTTAATGCTGACAGTTATTTTTGTAGAAATTGCTATTGCACTTTGTAAGTAGAAAATTCAATATATTCACACTATATTATAGTACTGCACAACAAAATATGTTATTGCGCTTTGTGCAGTAATTAGTGTGTAAACTTATTTTCACAAAAAGGGTATGGGGTTTTGAACAATCTGTTCTCAATAGTAGGTTGATTCAGAGAAAATATAAATTTCCCATCATCTGAAAGTCCAAGGTCTCTTCAAAAATACAAACAAAACTGTCTGTAACAGCAGGAATGCAGAGACAAAATGACGAGTTCATCTGTTCATCTGTTTCCATGTAGCTTGCATATCGATTAAAACCTGATAGATGTAAACATATCTCACCATAGTATCTGATTTTCCTCCTGCGTCGTAACAATTATAGAAGCTGAAAAGATAAATATAAATATATTTTAATTAGGCAATACATAACAATATAATTCAATCTAGGCAATGGAAAATAAAATATGTTAAGTGTTAATTATATTGTGTGCTCATTTTTCCCTTGCTTTCGATGTGGTACAAAGGGCGTAAGAGTTTTATTATTATTATTGTTATTATTATTATTATTATTATTATTATTATTATTATTTCATAATAGTTTGGGAATACAAGAACAGTAACGTTCCAAAACATAAAAATAAAAAAAATAAACACCATACATTGAAAAAAAGGGGCAACATTTAAAAAAAGACAAACAAGTTAATGCTTAGGAAGACTGGTGCTTGCTAATAGTAAAGGTCTCCCAACAACATAACCAAAACGGATATCAATGAAAATACAACATTTGATATACTGTATTTAAGAACATGCGATATGATTTATAAAGCATTATTGTGATGATACATATTTAAAAAAAAAAACATTGTACTGAAGTAGAATAATTTTTATTATTTAAAATACCTTAACATCTGTCTTAGTATCATTTTTTCTGCTGCTCTCCATGAACACCATCCAGCTGCTCTTTCCTTTATGTTCAAATTGATTATCTCCATGATGTATTTTGTCAGCTCGCTTGTATCTTGTTTAAAATTAAAAATAAGAAGTTATTATTGCCATTTTTTTTTTTATTAAACTATCATGACAGAACATCAGAGATTAATAATACCACCAAACTTCGGATACTAAACAAGAAATTTCAAAGTATAATATTAATAATGATAATAACAACAATAATAATAATAATAATAATAATAATAATAATAATAATAATACTAAAATAATCAAATATTTTTAGACATTTTCAAATTACAAGACAACTGTTTTTATAAAACTTGGGGTCTGAATAATCCTATAAATATGTCTATAGCGAATAGACTAGGCCTAGCGTAGGCCTACTTTCACGTGAGAGCATACCGCGTATACTTAAAATTTAAATACCCTCCTGGCCAAACATTGTTTACTTTCACCTAAGCCCAGGCGGCAGCTTACCCTCCCGTAGCGTAGGCTATTTTTGGGAAGACTGCTAGAAACATTTGAATTATATTTTAAAAACATATATAGTTATTTTGTATGTGTTATTTATTACGCCAAACGTCTAAAGGGTAGACATGCTAGGCCTGCCTAGGGTAAACACGTGTATTTTAAAGGCCAGACACGGTCATTTTTAAACTTAAATAATTTTTTTACCGGAACAGTTGTCAGAGAGATTTTTTAGAGGATAATGCAGAAGTCAAAAAGTAATAACATGGAGCAAGTGGCAATGTTTCAAAAAATTGCAAAAATTATTTATAGCCATGTAAACTTTACATGCCAAATTTTCTAAAGTTTTGGGTGAAAAATATGGAATAAATTCAAATACTCACACGTAAAATCAGGAGCCATGACATCGTACCTATGTTATACTACGGAACTGTTTAGCATGTCTTCTTCGATAATATCATGAATATTCATTATGTTTTTTAATTTTAAACCTGTTGGTTGGTCATTTAAAACCCATATATGGAGAATAATGAAATTATCGCTTCCGCGTTAGGGCCCCCAACTACGAGAATATCTAAAATGTATAATAGTGACTAACAGAGGGCTCACTACTTATTGTCTATATTGAAACCGCCGTGAGTGCGTGCCGGAGGCTACGGTGCACAGAGCAAAGAGCAACAGTATCTTGTTCATCGTCTCGTTGATCGTTTTCGACTGTCTCTGTATTGCCTCGTCGCTTATATTAGGTGGAGAAACGGAAACTCGATGACGTGCGTACCACGTCATCTAACTTGCTGCGACGTCAAACGTACAGACCGGTCGTGTCGACGATCAGCTTCAGAAACATGGTGTCGTCTTTGACGTAAACGGGATTTTTCAGGATGTCCTGAGAAACGAAGAGAGGGCATCCGGAAGTTATATTCATGTCGCCGGTCGGTCTTTTGAAGCTGCTGCTTCGAGGGTCCGGTTTGAAGCTGTCCGAGAGCGTGAGCTTTCCGCCGTTCTGGTCGAGCAGCAGCATCGTCACCTTTTGATCGAACGGCCATTTGAGTAGGGCATCGTAGTCTCCTTTCATGACGACGAAGAACATGGAAACGTGCGTCCCTTTGCCCATTCCGTCACCATTCAGATAGATCCGGGCGCACATCTTGTATTCGAACCGACCGGCGTAGAAGGGTTGGCTGTAAAGGGACACGATTTTGCCGCTGTCCGCCTGCTGCTTCCTCATACTCACGGAATTTAACTTCCACATCAGCACGCCGTCGTAGCTG